AGGTTAATAATACATTTAAGCATTAAGCTAAGCATTAATTGACAAACTTTTAAATGACACTGTTGGGTATTACGTTCATAAAAGTAGCCATTAGTGGGATTCATGAAACATCGCAAAGTGGCATTTTTGGTGAAATGGCAACTTTGCGAACAAAATTGTATGAGCGGCCTATCGCAACTCCGGATGGCAAATGTAAAGTTTTTTCAAAATGCTGCAAATAAGTTAAAAAAAACGTTTTTACCATTAAATACATTGGCATACATTTTTTGTATTTTTTTTTTTCAAAGTTTTTACGAATTGAAAGCTACTTGATAGCTTTTGAATAAATCTGGATATAGAAACCGTTATGAAAAATGTATGTATGCTTTAAAAATTACAATAATAGTTTGGTCAGATCGCCGTGCTTAGTTTTTTTGTCGATTTATTTTTTGCCAATTTCTTCCAGCATCGATTATTTTTATTTCGATTCGAATCTACTGAAAAATCGATTCTTTTTATTTCGATTTGGCATTTCTTGTATGTAGTAGAGGAATGGGATAAAGGCAAATATCAAAATAAAAGTATAGAAACCTAAAGGTAAATACAAAGAGGAAAGTAAATTTAAATACCTAATGTAATGATAAAGGTGGGGTGCATATGTAGACCAAGGAAAAAAAGAAAATATTAATTGGGATAAAGGTAAAGGAAGAGATAAGGATACAAATTTAAAGATAAATGAAAGACATGAAGATAAAAAACGTTGAAGACAAAGAAAGAGGAAGTGATAGAGATAATGATAGAGACAAAAAAATATTCAATTGAAGCATGAGATAAGCTGTTTTGTTATGTTATGTTATGTTTCTTTATGTTATGTTATGTTATTTTATGTTATTTTATGCTATTAATGTTATGTTTTGTTATGTTATATTATACTATCTTATCTAACACATGTTGCTCAACGTATCTCACCTCGACTCACCACAGCCCACTTCAAATCCACTCCTCTTAGATCACCTAAACTCACATAAACTCCTAGAATTTCAACCGCTGGGCGAACACTAGTTGTTTTGAACCACTGAAACCACGCGAACTTCCCATTTTCATTAGACATATGGATATCAGCTTTAAGCTATGAAGTCGCGGTTGGAAAAATAAAAAATTTCATTGACTTCCACAGTTGAGCTAACTGCCGAAAACCGTAAAGCGTATTTGCTATGTTTTTTATTTTTTTATTTTTTTGAATAATTAAAAATTTTCATATGCTTAGTAAGTAGACTCTATTGCATTTGTATGTTCATTAAATTTTTTTTTTCGGTATCGAACCATTCATATATGTAAATGAGCAAAAGTGTTGAATTAGGTGATGCGAATGCTCACTGTGGAAGAAGGTGGTACGAAAATACGTATATAAATTGTCTAACAGCCTGTAATTGGGAGCCGAGTCTACACGTTAACAAAATGGAATCTTTACGAAAATAAAGAGAATAGAAGAAAATACAACAAAAATTATAAAACTAAAAATATCACGAAGGAATTTTTTGTATCCTCGGTTTTGCTAAAAGAGCATATGCTAATATATCGATATACCGATACCACTAAATTTATCGATATGTATATGGTTAACAGTGTAGATAAATAATTATTATAAATATATCAATAAAAATTTAGTAATAACTGTCTGAATACATGTTTATCTGTGTGTTGGTGTTGGTAGATTTTTCCGACAGGGTGGTAAGATGATTTATTTTGAAACGAATTTCCGTCATCCCTTGTCAAGTTTGGTTTGCAGACAAACCGGTCTCGGCGTTGTGCCATCTCGAACGAACGAAAAATGAAACTGAAGATGGCTTTATCTCTTGATGGTTTATCTCTTAAATAAAAAAAGAAAGTTTTTCGATAACTATTTCGGTAAACAAACAAGTAAATATTTAAAAATTTTCAAGGCTTTGCTATACTATTTAAAAAACATTGAAAATATCATTTAATATTTCGATTATTTAAACAAAAAATGTATCGATAAGTTTCCAAATTAAATTGTCGATTAATGTTTTTATGTTAAATAGTTACACCAGTACAATGAATGCATCAAAATTGATAGCAATAAACATATCGAAAAATATTTTTTATCGATAATAATAATATCGATAATTTAAAAAGAAATATTTAAAATTTCTCAATTTTTTTTTTCTTTTAAATTGCTTTCGTGAAACTGGGTATTAAAGTTTGATTTATAGCTAGAAAATCATCGAATTTAAAAAGACTAATGAGGTTTTCAACATAGACAACGTAATAATTTCTAGGAAAAAAACCAAACCACTTCAAAGTTCTAAGAATCTCTGCATTCGATAGCCTTGTCCCTGCGCCAAACTTGCGTCATTCAAATCATCTTCTGCAGATGTCTGTAGCAGAACGAAGTTATGCTCTAATTAGCCAACTTAATTATAAAGTTAGTGCTTCCTGTTTAAAAATTTTGCAACCGATCAACTTTTTTGTCGTGCATTTTGCTCAACCTTTCTTCCACTTTGCTACATTTTTAATTTTAAATGCTTTCCTGCACTGTACATATTGTGGCGCCGGCATGTATGCTAATTTATTATGAAAATATACTCAAGTTGTAGAAGAGTAAAAAACTTGAGCTGATTGTAAGCGCAAAAAAAATGGAAAACTAAATAATGCAAGTTTTATAAGTAAATTTGTGAGTAAATACAAAAAAAACAAAAGAAAAAAAACTCAAGCGTGTGGGACTACTTGACTGCTAATGGATGTTTGCTGAATACTTGTTAGTCTGAGTGTGTGTGAGTGAGTGTTACTGGTTGCTTTGTGTGTATGTAGTAGATTTTAAGGATTATACTTATTGTTGCTAATTGAAGAACTAAAAGCTTTGTAAGCCGCTTAAGTTTAGTTAGTTATGGATTTTTTGTTATGAAATTAGAAATGTGGGATGGAAAGACAAAAGCAGAATAAACCGAGATCAAAGTGAAGAGAGTGTAGGTGTCTGGCCAAGACTTACATTATGCTAGCTAGTATTGAGGAAAATAACCAGGAAATCGACAACGATTACATCGACGACAAATATTATGGCAACAATATCCCTTATCGATTTCTTTTTACCGAAATAAACCCAAAAGTGAATACCAAAATAATATTTATAGCGATACTAGTGCCGTTAAAACAGAAAATGCAGAAAATTATAACTGCTTAGGTTGAAAAATTTATTAGAATATCAAAAGAGAACAACGATTTTGATAAAAATTTTGATAACTATAGTAGTAACACTTAAATTCATTAATAAAACCCGGATACTTTCGAAATTCCTAAAATGATCCCGTTAAAAAAATAAATAAAAATATCGTTAAAAAATCGATAACGCTTACTATAATTAATTAAATACATACATATATGTATAACATATTCTGTTTTGCGTTTAGCAACAACAACAAATATTTTAAAAAGTTGTTTATTCAAAGAATCATACTGATAAAATAATGATATCGATAACAAAAAAATCTCTGGTGTGGTCGGTAACAATAACGACATCGATAGTACTTTCGAAAAATGTATGGATAATTACTCGAGTGCTTAATTTAATCTCTGCTGCATCCTGAAGTTAGACAATTATACCTATAACAAAACGGATATCGAAATAAAGTCAACAGTGATATCGATAACGTTATTAGTACAACAACTTTGACATATATACAAATTGTTAATTGCTTAAATACATCTGGGCCGCATTCGATATACTAAGAATTGTATCGACGAAAACAAAGACATCGATAAAAAAACGTTAATGTTATCGATAAGGATTCTGATGAATTCTAATTTGTACGCAATTCAGCCTCTCCCGCATTCAAAATACTAAGAATTTTTGCCTATAACAATCAGGATATCAATAAAAAGGCGTTAGCGTCAGCCATAATTACTTCGATATCGGTAATAAATTCGATGGCTATATATAATAGGATGTTTGAATGCATAAACCAATTTTAGCTGCATTCATAATACTGACAATCATACCAAAAACAAACAGAATATAGATAAAAAATCGATAGTGATATCGATAACCATATTATTTTCGACAAAAAATGTCGATAACGGCGGTGATTGATACTTAACTACATAACTAGATCTCTGCCATATACTGAACAATTGCAACGATAACAATATCGCTATCGATAAAAACTCGATAGTGCATTTAGCCGATAACGATAACAAATCGTTGGTTTATAACCACACCTACATCGATAAACGTTTCGAAAACAAATTAAATACCATAATTCCATCTTTGACGCAATGGCAATACTTAAAATTTCGCCGATAACAATAATAATATCGATAAAAAATCGATAGTGACATAGATAACAATAAAAACATCGGTAAAAATTCCGACGCATTCAATATTTCAATCTCTGACACATTCGAAATGTTGTAGTTTCCGTCTGTCTGATCTGCGTAACATCTCTTTAAATTGCAGATTTACGCTCTGTTAGTCCGCATTCACGCTTGGCTAACTTTTGATGGCTGCAGTGAATACGTCGATCAGCGCAACAGCGTCAAACAAGCAAAAAAGTGTCTCGACTGTCCACTGCAGTGCTTCCTTTGGCGCCTTTTTGTTTATTTCAACTTTTGTGCCACCTTCACACTGCTGCCAGCGACGAGTGTGCATTTAATAAAGCTACGCTTTTTGTCCTTACCTCACATAACTCCAGCTCCGCTATGCATAATGCACATTTAAATTAAATTTCCGGCCATGCTGTCACCACTAATAGCGGCATATGGTGCTTCCGGTGTTGACGGTACTTTGTCATCGGCACCGATAGCGGCGGCAGCTTTTTTCGATGTCCTCACCTGAATGCCTTTTTTCCCTGCTTTTTTTGCTATAAATTTGCATCGAAATATTCAGCGTTTGCTGCAACCATCAAAGCTACTCTGCCTGCCTGTGCTATTAATCAGGCAGCCAGGCGCAGCGCTGGAATTATATTTCTCGTTTATGCTTTTATTTCTTTGGATTTTTTTTATAGTCCTTTTACTTAACATTTACTTATGCAAACTTATCTCTTTTTTTTACCCATTTGCAGGTCTCTCCAAGCGACCTTTGGGTCCGCCACATCGCAAAAGTAGTCTACCAAAGCATCAGGAGGTGAAAAAGCGTTTCCTGGAAATTTGTGATACCAACTTCTCGGATGAGGTGAAAGCTGCACTCCGTTTTCCCGCCTTCGATTCGTACGAGTGGGGCGATGCCGATGTTATACATCTAATGCAAACGATGTTCCTCGAATTGGGCTTCATAGATAAATTCAATATACCGATTGAGACGTTGCGCGAATGGCTGTATGAGGTCTACAAGCATTACAACGAGGTGCCATTTCACAATTTCCGGCATTGCTTCTGTGTGGCGCAAATGGTAAGTGGACTAGCAGTCAAGTGTTTATGTGGCGGGCGAATTTAGTAAGATACAAATGTATCTATGCACTTTTAAGAGTAAAGAAAGATTTAGTGGAGCTACATACATATATTTATATGTAATGCGAGATTACATTTTGAGCAACGAGGATTTAGCTCAAGCAAATTTATTAAACTACATATATTGATTTTACTAAATTTTGTAAATACATATCTGTTGGGTAAGCCAACATTTAATCGAAGCTTTCGTGTTTGCCATTTGAAATAAGGTATGCAGGTTTGCGTGGAATCGTTTCTGCCTACTTTTTTAATTTTCTAAAATTGTTTGTTTTCCTGCTACTATTTTTGAAACCACTATAAGAATAAGTAAATATTTTCATTTCCTTTATTAGACAGACTTATTTGTACAATAAGAGTTTGAAAGCTCTTTTATAGCACAACGGCGATTATGACATAAAAAACGACTGAGAAAGAGACTTAAAACTAATTTTAAATAGAATACATACTGGTAGCAGTGATGCAAGAGATGAAAGTTAAAAATATATAAATAAATAAAAATTAAAATTTTTAGTAGAGTTTGCACTTTGTTAATTCTCTAATTATCCGCAAATCGGCGGCAACTTCATCTAAAAGTTTTAAGCTCAAACATATTTGTATGTATAGATATATTAGGGCGGGCCATTTTTTTTTTACTATGCGCGTATAGCACAGCAGGATTCTACGTATAATTCTAAGCAAATTTTCCTCAGAAACCATGGGTCTAAAATCAATTTGGAGTTTGCCATAATGCGAAGATAGGTTTCTTAGCATTTTGCTGTAGTGTCGTAAAGAAGTGCTTAAATTTTGTAAAAAAACATGCTATAAGTGGTTTTTTGCTATGAAAAATCCATTTCTGCACTTACCTTTTTCTTAAAACTTACACCAGAGGGCGTAACAGTGAAAATTTTCCCATTTCCTTTCCTTAGCTCTGCGGATTGAGCACTGACTTTGTAAGTCGGCGTCGCTGGTTCAAATCCCAATGAACACAATGAAGAGGTCTGATGAGCAGATGTGGTAATCACCGAAATAGCTGCTATAACTTCTACCATATCGATCACTTACTACGAAACAAACGTAAGCGATATTTAAAAAAAAAATATATTTTTGATGTAGAAATGCGTCTAGATGCTCCAGCAACATTTCTGCATGAAAAAGAAAATTAAAAAAAAAGATCGCTTACGTCTTTTTGGCGGTTAGGGATCGATATGTACCTAAATTATTGTTTTTTTTACACAAATTTTCATTAAAAACGGCCTCAAGCTCAATAAAATGGTTCAATATATATACTTATTAGGAAAAAAATTTTAATTATAATTTTTCAATAAATTTCGCTACCATAAATAATACCAAAGTGCTTCTGCTGTTTCAAACAAAAAAAAGCTAACATATAAAACTTTCCTTGCCTTGTTGGCAACATTGCAATAATAATTTTTGAAGTAAAACTTACGTTTGAAACAACTTTTTATTTTCTAAACAACTTTTTATTACATTTAATGTTTCAACCATTAATAAAAAAAAATAAATAAAAATTGTGGTAACCCCGTAATGAAGAAAAGATAAGTGTACATTTTTTCATTACACACGGCTCGTAATACTTAATTTTAATTTCTTAAATAAAAAAATATATAAGTATATTTCTTAAGAATTTGCTGGCAACCGTACAAAAAACCTAGTTAAAGTTTATATAACTTGCTTGTTACCTAAGTAGAATACTACTAATTTCACTCTTTTTAATCTGTAAGAAATTTGTTACGAAAAACTTGCAAATATTGCAAATTTGATCTCTAAAAAATTTGTTGAATGCCACTGATGTTAGAAAACACTGTTTGTATATTTTGTTCTGACTAGGATTCAAACTTTGGTCCTACCGAGTAGTAGTTCGCAGCTCTAACCACTCTGCTATGGCCGCGCGGCTTTATAAAATAAGTGTAGTAAAAAATAGGTCGCAACGATATTAACATTTTTATTCAAAATATCTCTGACGAATTTTAGCATTTTTTAATTATTGGAGAATCAGTTAGAAAGGTGGCAATCCTATATGAAAAATTCCAGGGAAGTTGTGCGTTCAGCGAGGTTAAATTTTTTTTTTTTTTACTTTTTTTGTGTAGTTTTTAAATGACTAAAAAATTTATATCCGTTTTTTGTATGACCAAAAATCTTTGTCCAGTTTTGGAATTACCAAAAATTAGGTTAAAAACTTACATATGTGGCCAAAAATTTGCTCTAAGTTTTTAAAATAGAAAAAAAGTTATTTTCTGGTTTCATACTGCCAAAAAAAAATATGTATGTACGTCCAGCTTTGAAATTACCAGTATTAAATTATATGCAGTATTGATTAAAAATTTCGTAAGGTTTTTAACTACCAAAAATTTATTTATATTTTTTAAGTGATCAAACTTAATATGCAACTTTTAAAGATGTAAAAGAAATGTCAGTTTTGAAGTTCTCAGAGAAAAATATGTCCTGTTTTTAATTTATTTCAAAATTATGTTAAATTTTCGAACCACCAAAACCCTATGTCCAATTTTCAAACCACAAAAAAACTATGTCCGTTTAATAACCAACAAAAATTCTTGTTGACTTTGTCCTAAGATTTATGTCCTTTTTAAAAATTACTAAACTCTTACTTTAATTTAATTAATAAACTAAAAATTTAATTTCATGAAAAATTATGGCCAATTTTTAAACTTCCAAAAAATTATATCCAGTATTTAAACCACAAAAAAAGCCCGATTCTTAAGCTTAATCCAGGCCATAATTTATGTTCAGTTTTTAGATGACCAAATATTTTATGTTCAGTTTTTGTTGCCCAAAATTTACGTTCAGTTTTTAAGCTATATTTTTTGTATACTTCTTTCGTTTATGTCCAGATTTTAGTTTCGTCGAGATTTCATACACCTTCTACATAATGCCACACTCTTATATCAACTGCTTTTCTGCCTTTAGTTCTCCCCGTCTCTCCTTTTTATCCCTCATTCCCTCATTCCCTTTTTCCTTCTCCTTTCTCTTCTCTCAACCTCCAACCCAACTAAGTTTCCCTTTACTCCCTATTTTCTTTTGTTCTTATAATATTCCCCATCTGCTTCGCTTTAACATTCGCCATCAATGCTTGTCACCTTAAATCATCTTTAGTTTGATCCATTGCCCCTGGGGATATTCTACACTTGCTTATGCAAAACGGCAAGTCTCCGCTGTAATTCAATCCATTCATCTGCCACTCAGACAGACAATTCACACTGCTCAAGTACTTAGCGCTATTTTGTTTTTTCCAAGCATAATACAATTTTCTTGATCATTGCAAGTGTAATTGAATATTGAAGGACAAAAACTAATTTGCTGCCGTATATATGTACATATACACATACATACATATATACATACTTATTTGAAGCTATGTTAGACAGTGTTTTTTGTAAATCAAATATGCGAAGACCGCGCTTTTTTTATATAAAGTAAAATTTTAGTATGACATTTTTTTTTTTTTACTTTTTATATTTTCCGAAAATTACATATTTTCATATAATTTCGCATAAATTATAACAACAAAGCCAAGCGGAAAAAGTCCTTATGCATGCCTTTTTTGTTTCGAGACAAACAACAATCAATTTCGCAGTTCAGAGGCAAGCAATTGCCGGCGCACGACAACCGTGAACAATCAACAAAGGCTATGGGCATTGACATTTATGTAGTTACTTATTTAGTACTTTCTTGTAAGCTGAACTTTTCAAAAAGCAGAAAAAAGTTCGCAGGAGATGGTGTCGGCTGGTTGTTGTTAAGGTAAAAATGACAGCATGTGACAAAGTCCTTGTAATATTTGATGCCCCACTGAGCTTCTTTTGTGCCATTACGCGCTTATGTGCTGGTTTGTCTGTGTATTAGAGCTTCTTATGTCTGGGAAATTCATACAGTTTGCTATCCGTAGACTTATTGTTTAGTTAAGTATGCATCAGTAGCGGATACGTCGTGACAGTTCGTGCATATGCACATTAGGGCGGAGTAATTTCTTCGGAACAAAAGTGTATAGCAAACTCAAATTGTATGATTAACTCTAAGCAAAAATGGAAAACAAACTATAAACTAAAAATATTAAGTTTGACCCTCCCAATTTTTAAAAGCAAAAGTATTATATTGTAACTTTTTTGGTCGAAATTTATTTTTCATTGTACCAAAATTTTTTTTTTCTGTTTTCTCGGTTTGTGAAGTAGTTTCTCAAATATGCCGAAAACACAAAATTTGGTTTTTCTTTTAAAAATTTGGATCGTCAAACGTTATTTTTGGTATAAGTTTGTTCAACATTTTGGCTTAGAATCGAACATAGAAATCGAATATGTTATTCCTTTTTTTTCGATATTAAATAACTCCGCCCTAATGTGCACACACTTATACACACTTAAGTAGTTTTTTTATTGTTTTGAATTCTTGATTGTTTTCATATTGACAAATGACTGCGATGTTGTCTTCATTTTCAGTTACTTAGTTAAGATATAAGTATTGTCTCGTCGTCCACGATTGAGATGGCAGCGAGCATGTGGGGCGGATTTTACTAAATGACTACAAGAATGTAGACACTTTTTAAATTTGTGAAGATCAAAAAAAAAGAAAATGAATACGAAAAAACAATTAACTATTTAATTTCAACTTTTTATTTTCTCTAGAGACAACTTTTGTTTAGAGGAGGGAGCAGGTCACATAACTATAGTTGCCGCGACCGAAACGATCTATTTAACAAACCTTTGACTGAATGTCATTTTGGTCATGTGCTTCTGGATACTGTGATCCTAGGAAGTGAAGTCTGGTCCTAATGAGGGTTTCACACTAGCACATAATGTGCTCTGCTGTTTCCTGTCGTTCGGAAGCACAACCTACACTGGTCCGATTTAACAACTCCTATCTTTGACAAATGTTTCATTACCCTACAGTAGCCAGTTAGAAATTCTTTCTTCATGCCTACTGAGGTGAAGG